CTGGCTCCGGCCGAGACCCTTAGCAGTAGTAGTAGTAGTAGTAGTAGTAGTAGTAGTAGTGGTAGCAGTAGTAGTAGTAAGTAGTGGTGGCAGTAATAGCAGTAGAATTATAAAGATACTGTTGATGGACAAAATTCTGCATGACCCAAATATAGTATAGTACCATAAATCCCATAGTTTAGGTATATAGGGTCATGCAGGATTTTGTCCATCAACCGTAGCAGTCGCAGCAGCAGCAGCAGCAGCAGCAGCAGCAGCGCACGTGCAAGGCTCGAGACTTAGAGCTTCGAGCTTAGACTTCAGGGTTTGGCTTCAGGGTGTAGGCTTCAGGGTGTAGGCTTCAGTGGTTTAGGAAGTCTGGGGTAGCAGTTCGATGAAACTGCCGCGAGGTATGATCAAAAGCAGCTCAGCTGAAAAAAGCCTGTGTCAAATGCTGTTCCAGGGCTGAAGAAGTAGATCCTCAACTCGTAAACTTCCCTAAACCATAAAACCCTAAGTCCTAACTGGATAGGCAGGCGGAAAAGAGGTTCAAAATAAAAAACCTCTGCCAGAAGCGGGTCGCACGTTCATTGCAACTTTTTCATAATGGGGCGTTGAGGATTTAGCACTTCGGTTCGGGATTTTAGGGGCTTGGGGGGGTTCAGGATTCCAGGGTTTCGCGGGTTCGAGTTTAGGAATCAGGGTTGTTGGGCTGAAAGGGTTCATGGAGCAGGCCGGGTGAGAAGTAAGCATTTACGCAAGCTGCCGCAGGTGCTAATCGATTTGCAGTGCAGCGCGGAATAGCCGAAGCTCGATTTGCCCGACTTCTTCTCGGAGCTTTAGTCCCTATAAACCTTAAACCCTAAACCGAGCATCCAAAACAGTTCGGAAGTCAGGGGCATGGAGATCTAGGGCGGCTTTTGGGTTAAGGGTTTAGGGGGGTTTAGGGAGGTTTAGGACGTCTAGGAACTAGGGGTTTGGGTTTAAGGTTTTAGGGTTTTGGGGAATAATTACATGAACTACCATAGGAGTTACTTTCAGGGATACTATAGGCTGCACGGCTTTACAAAAAAAATGTTGGTCGGAGAAAAGGTGACAGGTGTATGTCTCGAGGCTTGGCCTTGCAATCACATCTCAAACCGTAATATGGGTAGTTCTCTACAGTAGGGCCCTTGTGGGGTCTTTTTTAATAAGGGTGCCATACTCTAGTGGGGACCTGAAAAGGGACCCTAGTTTAGAACTACCCACATCGAACCCTGAAAACCTACAAAGACTAATGACTGCTGTCCTCCTGCCAAGGCTCCGTAGAAAAAAAACTCTACCACAACATCTCTAAAAGCCCTGTTCTAATTACTAAGGCTCTTATATATATATATATATACAAACACATACATATACATATATTTTTGGAATGTCGGACTTCTGGGAGGAAAGAAGCCTCATAGCATCCTATCACGACCTAATCGTAACCTTACCGTAAGCACCCATATGGTACCCTTCCAGTACGTAGCCTTGTAGTATCCTTATAGTACCCTTTTATAACAGCAACCTAATCTCACAGCAACCCGATATTATAGTACCCTGAAAGTCTTCTGGTCCACCCTTTTGCCTCGAGCTGCACTCTGAGGGGTGGTGCCGCCGTGGAACCCCTCGGCAAAGCGGGGGGTGACGAGGACAGATCCGGGCATCAAGAGCTCTACTAGAACCTCATCCTGGTTAAGGGCTCGAAATCCTGCGGAGGCAAACTCTAGTTCTTACCATCCCTACCCCTATATGTCAGCTGCATTCCGCAAAGTCCTGCACAGGATCCCTACCCCTGTAATATGTCAGCTGCGTTTCGAAAATAATCCTGCACAAATCTGCAGGAGCGCGACTCAGTGAGCCTGGACCTGTGAAAGTAGAGCAGGTCCGGGCCAGCGGCATCCTCCGTGCTACCTAGAGACTCCAATATCCCTTAATTAAGGAATATACCCTACATTATAGTAGGATCCCAACTATGATTTCAAGGTATATTCCTTCATTAAGGGATATTGGAGTCTCTGGGTATGCTGTCCTTACAAAGTAACATTGTTTCCTTGTGTCGAGTTAGGTTTTTGGGTTTAGAGTGTTGGGTTTTTGGTTTGGAGTTTGGCGTGTTCGTTTGTTTGTGGATGACTTGTGGCCTCTGCTTTCTGTGTTCAAACAAACCAACTGGCAACGGGATACCTAATTGGGAAGAGCCCCCACCTACGTTTCACACTTGCGCGCGGTGGGCAGCTGAAATTCCACCCTTCTGGCAAAGCAGCAGCTTCTGTTAGACTTCGCCACCTTACCTATAAGGTTTTGGGGTTCCTTATTATATTTATACTGTAAAGGCCCTCAAAACCCTGTTCTTGCTATTAAGGCCCCTACATTACCCGGGGTTGCAATTTCATCATCAAGCAGCAGTCCGAGCCGTGCAACCAGGTAAAACGCCACAGGCACAGACAGCCCAATACCCCTTAATTCAGAATATACTATAAATCATAGTATTAAAGCCCCTATAATTTAAGGTATATTCCTTATTAAAGGGGTATTGGGCTCTCTGACTCTGAGGGGCGGCGAGGGGTCTGGCATCCCCTGTCGGAAGTGTTAATATAGAAGCCCAAATATTTACCAACATTACTGTTGGGGTTCCTTATTATAATAATATTATAAAGGGGCCCCAAACCCTATTCTAATTATTAAGGCCCCTACATTAGCGGAGTTCTAGCTTTTGTTTGATTTGCCATGCGGGATCTCTGCGTTTATAAGCAACCCCAAACCCAAACCCGAACCCCAAGGGGTTAAACCCTAAACCATTACACTCTAAACCTCAATCCTATAAGCTAGACTCCCAAAGGGCTGTGAAGATGCAGAAGCTGCCCTTTGCTTGCATTTTCCGCTCAGCTTTTGGGGGTGAGATGCTGATCTACATGCTGTCGAGCCTAAGAGAGCAGGAGCTCTGCAGAAACTCGAAGTTTGAAATCCCTAGGCCCTCTATTGGCCAACGCGGCCGTTGAAACAGTGCAGCCTTTAGCCTTCAGCGAAGATGCAGACACAGGCTTGTAGGACAACTCCCCCCTGTACCTAAAGCCCTAAGCCGTAAATCCTACAGCCCCGACCCCCTAAACCCGTAAAATCAAAATCCGCACACCCCTAAACCCTAAAAGCCCACCACTCCTAACCCTAAACCCTACGACTTCAAGTCCTTAAACGGAATTCAGACGACGGTTGAGGGTTCAGGATTTCGAGTTCATGCTGGGGACCTTTTTGTTGGGAGTCCTGTAGGTCGAAAGATAAACAGGGTTTAGGGGTTAGGTTTTAGGGTTATCCTCGACAAGGATTGCTGTTTAAGAAGGTTGTGAAAGAGGTTTACGGTCTACTGGCGTTTACGCGGTTTAGCATGAGGGCTTTCCGTAAGGGTTTTTGTGGGCTTAATGCAGCGGTCTAAGAACTAGCAAAAAATCATGAAACTTCTCCCACACATGATTGTTACTTTCGCATACTCCCAAACCCTGTTACGATGGTTCGGCCTCTTATGTTTTAGCAGCTGTTTGACTTACTTTACGATTGCTTTCAAGTGGTTCTCGAGTTCATGCTCCTTGGCTCCAGTGACGATAGGAGTGCTTTGCCGCGCCGGTGTAGCCTGAAAGCAAGATGGAAAACAGCATGGGCTGAGGATGGTGTAGGGTTTAGGGCTGAGGATGAACTTCAGATTTGTTTACGTCGTTTGGCGATGGGAATGTTGCACCAATGAGTTGTTTTTAGCTTGTTGCCATGGGTTGGTGTTTAACTTGTGTAGGGATAGGTGAGTGTAAGAAGACGGCTCTTAGCTCAATATCCTTAGACTTGGTGTAAGACTTCAACTTCCCATTCGGGTTTGCTGCTCTTCTTGCCTGGTGCATGCAGACTGATATGCAACGTTGAGGCCGCACGCATCGATTTCCATGAACTCCTGCGTATTGGCTTTGGAGTCCCAAGCCCAAGAACTTCCTGCAATGTCTTTGGAGCTTGTTGAAGATCCAGCATTAGAATCCTCCAAATTCCTCTGCGGAAATATTTGCAACTAGGCCTCTCGGGCTTGGGGCTTGCGGCTTGTGGATTTTTCTCTCGTCCTGTCTCGTTTTAAACATGGCATACCGGTCACTGCTCGGACTGCAGATGCTGACTTTGGTCTCCGGTGCGGAGCGGTGCGGAGGATCCCTGTACATCTTCTGGGACCGACGCTGTGGCCAAGAAGACGGCACCCCTCCCATGTGGATCCTTTCCCCAGAGAGGCCCGATCCTACAAAGCTCCGAAACCTCCAGGACGAGGAAGGATGCCATGCTTGGGCCACCTGGGCGACGGAGCAAGAAGCCATTGCTGGTGTCCACAGCTGGACGAGCTTCGATCCTTGCTGCACCTCTCGGGCAGGCACGGAGTTCCAGGCAAGGGTAGTAAGCTTCGAGAACGACAGCATTCAGGTGTCCGGACTATGCGATACTGACGGTGGCATGAGGCTTGCGAATCGAGTGTTCCGAACTGAGGGCGTTACGGTCACTGGTCGATACTGGTACTCAAGCGAGTGTTCCGAAGAGCATTGCTACCACGAAGTGCAGATCCCACAAGACTTTGACAGTCATGCTCAGGAGGACGAACACAACTTCGAGGAGGAGATCCCACAAGACTTTGACAGTCATGCTCAGGAGGACGAACACAACTTCGAGGAGGGGGGAGAGCCGCGAGGGTATCAAGATGAGGAAGACGACGACGCAGATGATCTGCTCGTCACCGCACATTTAATTTCCGGCTTCGCCCTCCTGGCTGTCGGCCTGCTAGAAACCCTGCTAGCCTGTGGGCGCCTTCAGAAGCGAAACTAGGCTTTTGGGAGGATATTAGACTATAAGAAGAAGAGGGGAACACAAAATAGTATTGGAAATTATTTAGGCCCCTACATTAAGTAAGCGAAACAAGGCTCTTCATAGGGATCCTAATGTTTTAGGGTTATAGGACCAGGGTTTCTTAATCAGGTTCGTATATTAGAATTGCTGTGTAGGTGGGCCTTTGGGACATTTTAAGTTTGGATCGTATTTGCGAATATTTTTCAAGGGCTCTAAACGGCCAACCTAGGAAAGCGCAGATTACCACTGCAGCCTGGGGACGCAGAAGTGCTTTCGCCTCGGCGACGAGGAAGTGGTAGCGATTGGCACCGATCCGTGCCGCAAAGCGCCTGGTGTGTGACGCTTGAAGACCTTTGCCAGTTTCGCCGGCTCGTGATGCATGCAGTTGAGACGGGAAAGATTCAGCCGCATGATCGTGATATGTTTGACACCTCCGACTTGTCCATAGGACCCTCCGTGTACACAGTCAACGATCAGTTCATCAAGCCCGTGACAGCTCGTGCTGGCAACATGAGCTGGGCTCTTCTGAAAAACCCCGCTGGTGTGAGCTGCGACGTCTTTGTGACACACTGCTGGGCAGAGGGAATTTATGAATCTAGGTGGCAATTTGGGAAACTTCAAAATTTCCCTTATGGTTTCTATAGAGGGACATATTCATAAATACTTTTCAGGGCCCCAAAACTACAACCCAGGAATTCATCGACAGGGTGGAGCACTCATGGCCTCGAGGCGCACGCGCCGCATATGTCTGCTTCTTGTCCAACCCGCAAAACTTGGACATCGCCGGCCTGATCGCAAGTCCTCGTGAATCTCCTTTTGCACTAGCCTTGCAGGCCGCTCCTATCATGTTGCTAGGTAGGCCTTTGGGACATTTTTTTTCTCCCCTTCTTGGGCTTAAGAGGATCATATTTACGAATATTTTTCAGAAGCTTTGAGGAGCCAACCTAGGTTGGTTCTGCCGAACCACAGCCTCAGCATTTACACACGGCTCTGGTGCTGTTACGAGGCGCCGGAGACGGCCAAGGACATGCTAAGAGCCTACTGCACGTACGCATCACGCCTCTAATATAGGGGCCTTAATAATTAGAATTTAGGGCCCATTATACTATAATTATAATAAGTAACCCCCACAATAGTATTAGTAATTATCTAGGCCCCTACATTAAACATGTTTGGGGGACACGTTGCTGCGAAAGGCCTTGACCAGCTCAGCTTTGGCTAGACCCAACTTATTTTCTTCTGGTTCAGTTCAATACGGCCCTCGTGTCCGTTCGTTCGAATGGGCTGTAGGTTGATTTGAATGATAGCTCCGAAACCCGAGCTGCTCTAATCCGCAAACTTCTGCGATGCCCTCGACCCACAAAAAACATCAAGGCCATGACTTTAAGACCCGAACCTTCAACAAACCCCTGCCCTAAACCCGAAGCCCTAAGCCAAAACCCTCAAACCCAGAACCAAAACCTGAAGCCCTGAAGCCTTTTCCCTCGCCCCCCTCCGTCCTGTCCGAAGCCTGACGAGGCTTTCCTGGCGTATTCCTGGCGAAAGACCATTCGGGTTGCAAAGCGGCATCATGACGGACTTTGGTGGTGCATGCTCCGGCTCGGAGGCTTGCATCACGGCTGCATGAGTTTAGGGTTCAGGCCAGGGTTTTGTATGTGTGCTGGAAATCCCCGGCTTCATTGCGTGGTTTCCGTGCTGCAATTGCAGAGTCAGGTACGTGGCGGCTGCTGGGGCGATGTGTTTGTTGCCGATGAGGGTCGACATGGCCGTCATCGCACAGCTCAACACGACCCTTTCGGTTGCTGCAGGAAGCTCGCTTGAATTAGTACCACCGCAGCGTATGCAGTTCTACCGGAGTGACATGTCCATCGTTGTCGACGCGCAGCGCGGCATCTTGTATGTTCCCTGCACCCAAAACCCTATAACCCAAGGCATCTTCTATGTTCTGGCGGCGGCGTTTGTGCAGAAAGGGATCTTTGGGGCACTTGCCCTGGCGCTGAACGCAATCACCGGCATCTGTCTAAGCACGGGCCTGCTGGGCGGATACATTGCTGCCGTGGGTCTGCAGCGTGAGATGTTCTATTCTGGGCAAGATCTGGGGCGCCTTTTGACCTGGCTCTGTGGGCTTGTCACTAGGTCCCGAAGTCGTAGCCTCCTGCTTTGGGGTGGTTTTGGCTCGATGTTAGGAGGGGCCTCCTGATTAATTCTGAAGAATAAGAAGAAAGGGGGGGGGGCCCTCATTATTGAGGGGGTAACAGGAACCCTGCAAACACTGAAAAACCATGTCTCTGGACCTCATGAAGCTACTATTATAAATCCTTTACCCGGCTTGATGATAAGCCGTATTACTTTTATCATTATCATGATGACGATTAGAAATGTTATCATTATTCATATTATTAGTGTTATGCTTTATGGATCTGTTTTTTTCATGGTCTGTTTATTTATGCTCTCCGAAAGCCAAGGTCATCACCTACTGCCTGGAGTTCGACCGGATCATGGCCTCAGATGCCTCGCTTCGAAGCAAGCTCCTGCGAAAAGACTTCTCTGGCAGACTACTGGACGCGAGGTGGGGTTTCAGGGGTCTTATAAGGGTTCTACAAGGGGTTCTTCTAAAGGGCTCTATAAGGATCTATAGATGTCTATAAGGGATCTATGGGGGTTTAGGGTTTTGGGGTCTTAGGGTTTAGGGCTAGGGTGTGGGTTCAGGATTCAGGGTTCAGGGTTCCAGTTCAGGGCTCCTTGAAGAGTTTTGTTTTAATGTCGGATTGCTTCAAGAATTCCGTTAAGGGTTCTGGAAGCGGCTACTGTGAGGGTCTACCTGGTTCGAGGAGGTAGTGTCAGGCTTGGCCACTTTGGAGCTAAACCCGGGCCTTAAAACCAGACCCTGAACCCCTAAATGTGCTCAACTCCAACCCCACCTCACCGAAACCTAAACCTTAAAGCACTGAACCTTCAATCAGGTGCTCATCGGACTCCGACAGAGAGACTGGGTTCTGGAGTACCATACCGGAATGTTTTTTGTGCCGGTTCCTAAACCCTGAACTCTAGACCCTAAATCCCTGAGCCCCTAAAACCCTACGCCCTAGAACGCTAAACCCTAAACCCCTAAGCCCTAAACCCCTAAAACCCTAAAAAACCCTGAACCCTCAACCCCTAAAGCCCCAACAAAACCCTGAACCCTAATTCCCAAACCCCTAAACCCCTAACAAAAACCATTAACCCTAAAACCCTAACAAAACCCGAACCCTAAACCGTGACTTGAAAGTCCAGGAGAGTATCCTCGAGGAGCTGTCGCAAAGCGGTAAGGCGAAGGAGGTCGAAGAGGCTGCAGCTGGCAGCTGAAGAGCTGGGTCCCTTTTTAGGGTCTAGGGTTCAGGGTTTAGCAAGTTAAATTAAGTTACTAAAATAGGGAAACCCTACTATTTTATTTATTATAGTTTTATTTATATATATATATATATATATATATATATATATCATATATACCATATATATATATATATATATATCCCCATTATGGTAACTTAAACTAAGCCTTAACAGCAACCCAGCTAGGGGCCTGAACCATGACAATAGGGCTCCTGCTAACGAGGTGCTGTACGGGGTACTATACTGGTTCTCGGCAATATAATGTAATATAGGGGGCTTTAACGATAGGGACATGGGGGGTGGATCATTACAAGGGTGGGCTTCTTGTAAAGGCCTCCTTAAAGCATAAAGGAGATACTACAAGTTTGTTCTAAAGGAGCACTAGAGCGGCCTGAATCATTACGAGAGGGTTCCTTTCAAAGGGCCTCTATAAAGGGTACTATAAGGGCTCGATAACACAAGGGCCTTAACGACAGGGGTGCTTGTGAAGATTTCCTTAAGAGAGACGTTACAAGGGCTGCTATAAAGGAGCACTAGAGGGGCCTTAATAGTTCTTACAGTTTGAATAGGTTTGGCTGTGTATTGCACTATAGGTATTTTGCCAGGGAGTGCTAGCTAATTATTCCGACCCATGTATTACAGATCGTTAATCAGGCTTCGCAAGGATTTAGGGATTTTGCTTCCGATTCCGGGTGTGGGCTAACTATGAGACTTCCTATAGGTCCTACATGACATTGTATTAAGTTACTAACTATATATATATATATGTGCACTTGGATGGATGGATAGATAGATAGATAGATAGATGAATGCATGAATGGATGGATAGATAGATAGATGGATAGGTGGATAGGTGGATAGATAGATAGATAGATAGATAGATAGATAGATAGGTAGATAGATAGATAGATAGATAGATAGAGATAGACGTGCGTATTTATTTAGATTACTATCAGGGCCTGTTTCGGGCTTCGAGGGTTTAGGGAGTTGTTTAGGTGGGCTTGCAACATGCTTTGCAAAGTTTTTATCGCAGGGGGTTCTTCTGGGGCTTGTGTTTGGGTTTTATACGGCGTCATCACCCTAAACCTTAAACCCTAGACCCTAAAGCCCTAAGCCCTAAACCCTGAACCCTCCAACCCTAAACCCTAAAGCCCTAAACCCTAAAGTCCCTAAAGT